CTTCCCTTAACATATCAAAGGAAATCTGGAGTTTATCTTTTTTCCATTTTCTTTCAGAGTGACATTGTTTAACCAGGGATCAGGTTTAGGTCTAGCACACTAAGTTTTTTTAAAAGGAGTAACAAATCAAGCACATTTGAACAAGCAGCATTGAACAAAGTGAGCAGATGATCAGCACGTGGCTTAAGGAAGTAATTGTCCGAGGAAGGGGCACCAATATTCTGATAAACAGCAGAGAAATGTCAAGCAGTAGCAGGAGCGATGATGTGGAAATCACGCACAGGCAAAAGAGGTTTAACTGGAGGACATGGTGCCGAAATTTGGATTATAACAGGCATGTGATTAGAAAACTTGAGCTTGCAAATTTGAATGTCACATAGCTGCAGACCACAAGATAAAACTAGATCCAAAGTATGTCCATGCTCATGGGTGAACAAGATTAAAACAGTCAATAAGATTCAGGAAGTCTTTCATAAGAGGCTTTTGGTAGCAGCAAACATGAATATTCAACGCTTCACTGGAAGATCAGGAATGATTTGGCCAGTGGTCTCCTTCTATACAAATTCAGCTGATGATTACACTCTGCATGCTGTTTTTACATACTTTTATTCAACTTTTCAATTTTTTATCATTCAAGTTATTTATTAATGACTTTCTTGTTACAAAAAATAAAAACAAAGAAAATGTGACTCACTTAAGTCAGTTAGTACATTACAGGTCATTTATTTTAAGGAAAGTCAGAGTAGGTTAGTTTAAACGGGTAGAGAGGTGTGTAACGCTCATCGTTCCAGAAACTTAACCGTTTCCAAAGTGAGGACGATGGCTTCATGTTTCAGCATGCTGTGGACATTCAGACCTGAGAGAGAAAATATGACAAACAAACTGTGTGAGTTTTACAGAAGAGATTTGTTACATATAACACTTAAAACCCTGAGCTTTTTAAGAACTATTTAATTAAGCTGGCATGTTAGAGGTACATAGACACAGTGCTGCAAAGACATCGATGCATGTAATATTGTTTTAAAGGAGGAACAGAAACAATACATTTTGCCACCAATTAATCTGTTAAAAAGCTGCAGGTGTGAGTACAAGAAAATAATTATTATAATATGATGTGTTAAATTTGTTTAGATCAGAGGAATAAGGAAGGATTGGTCTGTGTTTCAGTTTGGGTTAGCTGTAGGCTTGTGAGTGTGTGTAATTGTTTAGAGGGAAAGGAATTTATTGACACTGGGGGTCTGCTGTCATAAAAGGAGACAGGAAGCTACAGTTGGGGTTGTTGATGCTGATGCTTGTACCTTTAATTAAAGTTCATAATTGCCATAACTTGGAAGAAGGTTTGCAGGAGACTCTCCACATGCTTATCTGTAAATGTAAGACAGCAAGAGGCCAACGGCCCAGTGGATGCAGAGTGGGGGTCTCAGTGTTTGTAATATGTTAACTCTGTTTTCTATGTTGTGTAGAGGAATTTGGTGTAGCTTGGGTGAGATTACTTTTATGACCGGCAGGAAGTCACGTACGCAGAGACACACACACAGTGCTTAAACTGTTACACTCACACATCCACATGCACACTCACTCACGTGCACTCACACATACACACAGGTACACGCACACATTCACTTACGTGCACTTACATAGACATATGGGTACGCGCGCACACAGGCACTCACGTCCTCGTGCATACACACACAAACACAGAGTTTGCAGCACACCATGGGGGTTTTATGATGGGGTCACTTCTATAAAGCTGGCTGTAACAAACAAAGGAGTGGAAGATAAGATAAGATAAGATAAGATAAGATAACCTTTATTAGTCCCACACGTGGGAAATTTGTTTTGTCACAGCAGGAGTGGACAGTGCAAAAGTTATGAGGCAAAAATTAGAATACAATAAGAATAAATACAGTACACAACTGTACAGAATAGAATAAAATAAAATACTATATACAGTAGAATAAAATAAAATAATATACAATAAGATAAAAATAGAATACAAATACAAATACTATATACAACTGAGTAAAAATACAACGATGACAGAAAGGATTATTGCACTTAGTATTATTGCATATGTATGGATGTGTGTGCTTGATCAGTTAAAGTCTTTGTTGTGGAGTCTGACAGCAGTGGAGAGGAGAGACCTGCGAAATCTCTCCGTCCCACACCGTGGGTGCCGCAGTCTCCCACTGAAGGAGCTGCTCAGTGCTGTCACAGTCTGCTGCATGGGGTGGGAGATGTTGTCCATCAGGGATGACAGCTTAGCCGCCATTCTCCTGTCACTCACCACCTCCACTGGGTCCAGAGGGCATCCTAGAACAGAGCTGGCCCTTCGGATCACCCTGTTCAGTCTCTTCCTGTCCCCAGCAGAGATGCTGCCGCCCCAGCAGACCACACCATAAAAGATAGCAGAAGCCACAACAGAGTCATAGAAGGTCTTCAGGAGTGGGCCCTCCACTCCAAACGACCTGAGTCTCCGCAGCAGGTACAGCCTGCTCTGCCCTTTCCTGTAGAGGGCGTCTGAGTTATGAGTCCAGTCCAGTCTGTTGTTCAGATGAACACCAAGGTACCTGTAGCTGTCCACAGCCTCAATGTCCATACCTTGGATGTTCAGTGGTTGCAGTGGAGAATGCTTGTGCCTGCGGAAGTCTACCACCAGTTCCTTGGTTTTACTGGCGTTGATCTGGAGGTAGTTCAGCTGGCACCAGTCCACAAAGTCTTGAGTCAGTCCTCTGTACTCCTTGTCGTCCCCATCAGTGATGAGGCCGACTATTGCAGAGTCATCAGAGAACTTCTGCAGGAAGCACTGGGTGGAATTGTGGGAGAAGTCTGCAGTGTAGATGGTGAAGAGGAACGGAGCCAGAACCGTTCCCTGTGGGGCCCCCGTACTGCAGACGACCCTGTCCGACACACAGCCCTGAGTCCTCACATACTGTGGTCGGTCGGTGAGGTAGTCCAGGATCCAGGTAGTGAGGTGATGGTCCACTCCAGAGTTCACCAGCTTGTCCTTTAGAACCGAGGGAAGAATGGTGTTGAAGGCACTGGAGAAATCAAAGAACATGATTCTCACAGTGCTTCCAGCGGTCTCCAGGTGAGCGAGGGAACGATGTAGGAGGTGAATGACGGCATCATCCGCTCCAATGCCAGGCTGGTAGGCAAACTGAAGTGGGTCCAGTGATGAGCTTATTAGGCGCCGAAGCTGAGCCAGGACCAACCGCTCCAGGGTCTTCATCAGGTGGGATGTCAGAGCCACCGACCTGTAGAGGGACACCGGCCTGACACATCTCCCCTTCTAGAAGATGTATGCTTAAATGAAGATGAATAAAGATGAATAAAGGTTTTGTGAAAATGACTACTGAGTTCTGGTGCCGTCTCTGGATGCCCGAGGAATAAAAAGAACCGGGGTGAAACTGATTTCGCAACACACTCACTACGAACACTATTAAGTTGTTCTTTCAACTTGAGTTAACAGCTTGCATGATCATTGATCATGCAAGCTGTTAATTCTTAGAAACCTCTGATTCAGTTGTGGCTTTGGGTCTGACAGACAAAGATGTTTTTCACACTTGAGTAACCTTGAATTGCTGCCTATATATCAGTGCTGCAGCTACAGTACTGTGCAAAGTACTGCTCCTGCTAGGAAAATACTGCTTTACGGGGACAGTGATTTATTGGAAGATGTGCTAACATACTTGGAAAAACTGTTTGTACAGTTCTAAGAAACTCGAAAGTCCGAATTTGTTATGAGCAACTTTGCTTATAACACATTATTCTTCTTGTAATTTCTTTAAAGTATTCTTCAGGCCTAGTTCCCCGGGCTTCTTCACGGACATTCAAAGTTCTTGTTTAGTTGCTGGCTGACTTTTATTCCATCTCTGTCAAGATGATCCGGCACTACTTCAGTCATTTTGAGGCTGAAATGAAGCCCCAAACCATGACAGTCTCCACCTAGCATTAAAGACAGCCGTGGGCAGTCTGTTGTACCTCTTTCATCCATGCATATTACCAGTTTAGATTAGAGATAGATTAGATTAAACTTTATTAATCCCTCGGGTGGGTTCCTCCGGGAAATTCAGTTTCCAGCAGCACAGCACCGACAGAAGTTGCATGTTATAGATACAATAAAGGGGAATGAGAGTACGGATATAAGCAGAAATATACCATATATACACATATATAAATACAGAATATATAATATGGATAAATAGGATTGCACATTTGAGTGAGTCTATTGCACAGTGATTATTGCACAGTCTAATATAAGAAAAAAATATTGCGAATATTGCACAGTGAAAAAAAGCACTACAGCTCAGCTGTTCCCGCCCTCCTTTGTCCTCCTGTCTCCCCTCCCTCTCCCCTCCAGTGAGGAGTTAAACAGTTTGATGGCGTGTGGGACAAAGGAGTTTTTAAGTCTGTTGGTTCTTGAATTTGGGAGAAGCAACCTGTTGCTGAATAGGCTCCTCTGATTATTTACGACAGTGTGCAGAGGATGCCCAGCATTGTCCATAATGTCCAGCAGTTTCTTTAGTGTCCTTTTCTCTGCCACTGTCCCCAGAGTGTCCAGCTTCATGCCGACCACAGAGCTAGCCTTCCTGATTCGTTTTTCCAGCCTGGATGAGTCCTTCTCTGCTGTGCTGCTCACCACAGCATAAAAAAGTACTCCAGCAACCACCGACTAGTAAAACATCCTCAGGAGCTTCCTGCAGATGTTAAAAGGCCTCAGTCTCCTGAGGAAGTACAGTCTGCTTTGGCCTTTTTTATACAGGTGCTCTGAGTTGTATGACCAGTCTAATTTGTTGTCCACCCACAGCCCGAGGTACTTGTATGTGTTGACCACCCACCTCCACCTCCTCTCCCTCTATCTGAACTGGGTGGAGCTGGTCTGGACCTCCCGAAGGTCTTTGTACAGTATTGTAACAACATGAATTCTTTAATATGAAAGAATGATCTTAAACAGTGTTTTAAGTTCCATAATTACTCTAAAATATTGGAAGCAAAAATTTGGTTGAAATAAGAATGGTTTTTAATAAACTCCAGTATATAAACATGTATAATAGACACAATGAACATCCAAAAGAACCAGAATGATAATATATATACACAACTTTGAATACTGTGCAATTCAACGGATAGTATTTAAAAATATAGTATCTAAAGAAAATGTATTCATTTAATCTTGTAAAAGTACCCTATAGGACCCCACAAGTCCACATATTTCCTTTATTCCTTTAATATAATAGTTAGAGAAAATGTAAATAATAACTGTTAAAAAATATAAAAACATTTATGATACAAAAAGCAGTTCTACTACATTTAATAAAATAAGAGCAATAATGCTGCACTGTAATCTAGGTAACATCATTGCAAAGCCACGATATATATATACACACACACACACACACACACACACACACACACACACACACACACACACACACATAAAACATATAACTACAGTACAAAAAGCACATTAAAAATGGAAACACAAGTCCTTTGAAAGCTATACAAGGTTGGAGAAAAAGAACGTTGACCCTCTTAGGTCATGTTCATTGGGAACTTCAAGGTCCAAGTTTCCTGGATGAAAGTCAAGCCCTCCAAGTGTGTTATATTTACGATTTGGCCTCTTTTGATTTTGTGCTTGATTGGGAAAAACAGTCACATAGTATCCATCTGAAGTGTTAGATGCTCTCATTCTTGAATCTGGAGAAAATTGTGGCAAACGTGTATTGTGTTTGATATGGCCAGATGGGATTCTTCTGGGGTCCCTCATGCCAGTGTTAACTCCAGATGGGGAGATTGCGTGTCCATGGCTGTGTGGAGCCTGGAGATTAAGGTTGGAACCTCTAGCTCTAAGCACATGATGTTTTCCTGTAAAGTCGTCAATATTGAGATCTGAATGATTTAAATCAATATGTTGGTGGAAAACGCCATCCATTCCAGGGAAGCTGGATCTTACTTTGGTTCTATGGGACCTTCTATCAGTATTACGAAGTCTGATATCACCATCTATGTCCAGGTCAGGAAGTTTCATGGTGAGATTTGACATATCTTGTGTGTGATGTTTATGTGAAGGTGTTTGAAAATACAATGAAGGATCATCAATACTAAGACCTGGAGATCTCAGATGCTGCTGTGGAGGGTGCATTGCAACTTTGGGCATGTTGAGGTTCATGTTTGGAGCACTAACCCTTGGTCTTGATATATGTCCCTTCATCTGGGGTTGTTTCATATTCAGTTTTGCATTTGGAGGATTAATATCAAGATTTGTTGGTCTCAAAGCTCCACCAAAGTCAATATCAGATGCTTGATGTAAATCTGGGCTTCTAAACTGAGGCGGCTTGAAATATGGTTGTTTTAATTTTCTGTCTAAATCAAGATCAGCATGAGGGCCATGGATGTTTCCTAAGGGAATATTTGTGTCAACATCTGGACCTCTTATGCCTCTTAACTGAGGGCCATTAAAGTCCATCCTAGGTTGTCCCATGTTACCATTAATCCCTACATCAGGGTGTTTTGTATTGAGCTTGGGACTCTTGAAATTGGCATCAGGTAAATTGAAATCTGACATACTAACGCCAGGTCCAGAAAGTCTCATATGTGGTGTTTTTGCCTGTGGTCCAGAGATACTGAGATCTGGTGTATTTAAACTTGGGATTTTAAATTTTCCTTTTGCACCAGTAACATCTAAAGTTGCCTCAGGCAAACCAATGTCAACATCTGCAGTGTCCATTTCCAAGTTGGGAGCTTTGAGATCCATGTTTGGTAAGTCTACCTTAGTCACATCAAGTCCACCTTTCATCTTTGGAGCTTTGAGATTCAGATCTGGAGTTTTTAGATTTGAATTTAATTTCAAATTTGGGCCTTTTGGTACTTTAGCTCTGACATCTGGTGAATTGAGGTCAACCTTTGGGAGATCTGTTTTTGGTGCAGAAAATCCCAAATCAAGCATTTTCAAATGTGGTGTTTTAAATTTCCCTGAAGGGCTACCAAAATCAACATCAGGGAAGTCAAAGCCATTTTTAGAACCTTTAAAGTCTATATTTGATGAAGGTAGATTAGGTTCATTAAGTCCACCTTTCACTTTTGGACCTTTGACTTTCAAATTTTGTTCAAAGTCTGGCCCATCTAATTTTGGTCGAGAAAATCCCACATCAGGTAATTTTAAATTTGGAGATTTTAACTTTCCTGATGGGCTACCAAAATCAACATCAGGAATTTCTAAGCCAGTTTTGGAACCTTTGAAGTTGGCATTTGGTGCCCTGAGGTCAATGTTGGAGCCGTCAAAAGTGCCATCAAACTCAGGTCCTTTAACATTTGGTAGATTACTCTTAGACATTTTCAGTTTTGGCATTTTCAGCTTCCCTTTTGGTGTGCCAGTGTTGATATCTGGAGTGTTGATATCTAATTTGGGAGCTTTAAGATCCATGTCTGGTAAGTCCATATCAGGTGCATCAATTCCACCCTTTATCTTTGGAGCTTTTAGATTGAGATCTGGGCCTTCTAACTTTGGACCAGAAAGACCTAAATCAGGCAGATTCAGGTTTGGCTTTTTAAACTTGCCAGATGGACCAGAAATATCTAGATCAAGATCTGCTTTAGGACCTTTGAGGTTGACATTGGGTGTATTTATGTTTGGACCATCCAAGTTGCCATCAATTTCAGGACCTTTAAGGCTTGGAAGGTTGAATTTAGGCATTTTCATTTTAGGGAATTTCAGCTTCCCTTTTGGTGAGCCAATGTTGACATCTGGAGTGTTCATATCTAATTTGGGAGCTTTAAGATCCATGTCTGGTAAGTCCATATCAGGTGCATCAATTCCACCCTTTATCTTTGGAGCTTTTAGATTGAGATCTGGTGACTTCAGAGCTGTGTTTAGGTCCAAATTTGGTCCTTTAGGCAGTGTCCCTGACAGATTAAATTTAGGCATTTTTAATTTCCCAGAAGGAGCATTAACATCCCAATCTGGACCATGAAGTTCTGGCATTTTAACTTTACCCGATGGCAAGTCCCAGTTGGCATTTGGTTTATCCATTTTCAGCTTTGGGGCTTTGAGGTCAATGTTTGGCATGTTTATGTCAGGTGCATTTATTCCACCACTGAAATTGGGACCAGAGATATCTAGGTCATGTGTTTTAAGGTCCAAGTTAGGGCCTTCTAACTTTGGACCAGAAAGACCTAAATCAGGCAGATTCAGGTTTGGCTTTTTAAACTTGCCAGATGGACCAGAAATATCTAGATCAAGATCTGCTTTAGGACCTTTGAGGTTGACATTGGGTGTATTTATGTTTGGACCATCCAAGTTGCCATCAATTTCAGGACCTTTAAGGCTTGGAAGGTTGAATTTAGGCATTTTCATTTTGGGGAATTTCAGCTTCCCTTTTGGCGAGCCAATGTTGACATCTGGAGTGTTCATATCTAATTTGGGAGCTTTAAGATCCACGTCTGGTAAGTCCATATCAGGTGCATCAATTCCACCCTTTATCTTTGGAGCTTTTAGATTGAGATCTGGTGACTTCAGATCTGTGTTTAGGTCCAAATTTGGTCCTTTAGGCAGTGTCCCTGACAGATTAAATTTAGGCATTTTTAATTTCCCAGAAGGAGCATTAACACCCCAATCTGGACCATCAAGTTTTGGCATTTTAACTTTACCCGATGGCAAGTCCCAGTTGGCATTTGGTTTATCCATTTTCAGCTTTGGGGCTTTGAGGTCAATGTTTGGCATGTTTATGTCAGGTGCATTTATTCCACCACTGAAATTGGGACCAGAGATATCTAAGTCAGGTGTTTTAAGGTCCAAGTTAGGGCCTTCTAACTTTGGACCAGAAAGACCTAAATCAGGCAGATTCAGGTTTGGCTTTTTAAACTTGCCAGATGGACCAGAAATATCTAGATCAAGATCCGCTTTAGGACCTTTGAGGTTGACATTGGGTGTATTTATGTTTGGACCTTCCAAGTTGCCATCAATTTCAGGACCTTTAAGGCTTGGAAGGTTGAATTTAGGCATTTTCATTTTGGGGAATTTCAGCTTCCCTTTTGGCGAGCCAATGTTGACATCTGGAGGGTTCATATCTAATTTGGGAGCTTTAAGATCCACGTCTGGTAAGTCCATATCAGGTGCATCAATTCCACCCTTTATCTTTGGAGCTTTTAGATTGAGATCTGGTGGCTTCAGATCTGTGTTTAGGTCCAAATTTGGTCCTTTAGGCAGTGTCCCTGACAGATTAAATTTAGGCATTTTAATTTCCCAGAAGGAGCATTAACATCCCAATCTGGACCATCAAGTTTTGGCATTTTAACTTTACCCGATGGCAAGTCCCAGTTGGCATTTGGTTTATCCATTTTCAGCTTTGGGGCTTTGAGGTCAATGTTTGGCATGTTTATGTCAGGTGCATTTATTCCACCACTGAAATTGGGACCAGAGATATCTAGGTCAGGTGTTTTAAGGTCCAAGTTAGGGCCTTCTAACTTTGGACCAGAAAGACCTAAATCAGGCAGATTCAGGTTTGGCTTTTTAAACTTGCCAGATGGACCAGAAATATCTAGATCAAGATCCGCTTTAGGACCTTTGAGGTTGACATTGGGTGTATTTATGTTTGGACCTTCCAAGTTGCCATCAATTTCAGGACCTTTAAGGCTTGGAAGGTTGAATTTAGGCATTTTCATTTTGGGGAATTTCAGCTTCCCTTTTGGTGAGCCAATGTTGACATCTGGAGTGTCCATATCTAATTTGGGAGCTTTCAGATCCACGTCTGGTAAGTCCATATCAGGTGCATCAATTCCACCCTTTATCTTTGGAGCTTTTAGATTGAGATCTGGTGACTTCAGATCTGTGTTTAGGTCCAAATTTGGTCCTTTAGGCAGTGTCCCTGACAGATTAAATTTAGGCATTTTAATTTCCCAGAAGGAGCATTAACACCCCAATCTGGACCATCAAGTTTAGGCATTTTAACTTTGCCTGATGGCAAGTCCAAGTTGGCATTTGGTTTATCCATTTTCAGCTTTGGGGCTTTGAGGTCAATGTTTGGCATGTTTATGTCAGGTGCATTTATTCCACCACTGAAATTGGGACCAGAGATATCAAGGTCAGGTGTTTTAAGGTCCAAGTTAGGGCCTTCTAACTTTGGACCAGAAAGACCTAAATCAGGCAGATTCAGGTTTGGCTTTTTAAACTTGCCAGATGGACCAGAAATATCTAGATCAAGATCCGCTTTAGGACCTTTGAGGTTGACATTGGGTGTATTTATGTTTGGACCTTCCAAGTTGCCATCAATTTCAGGACCTTTAAGGCTTGGAAGGTTGAATTTAGGCATTTTCATTTTGGGGAATTTCAGCTTCCCTTTTGGCGAGCCAATGTTGACATCTGGAGTGTTCATATCTAATTTGGGAGCTTTAAGATCCACGTCTGGTAAGTCCATATCTGGTGCATCAATTCCACCCTTTATCTTTGGAGCTTTTAGATTGAGATCTGGTGACTTCAGGTCTGTGTTTAGGTCCAAATTTGGTCCTTTAGGCAGTGTCCCTGACAGATTAAATTTAGGCATTTTTAATTTCCCAGAAGGAGCATTAACACCCAATCTGGACCATCAAGTTTGGCATTTTAACTTTGCCTGATGGCAAGTCCAGTTGGCATTTGGTTTATCCATTTTCAGCTTTGGGGCTTTGAGGTCAATGTTTGGCATGTTTATGTCAGGTGCATTTATTCCACCACTGAAATTGGGACCAGAGATATCAAGGTCAGTGTTTTAAGGTCCAAGTTAGGGCCTTCTAACTTTGGACCAGAAAGACCTAAATCAGGCAGATTCAGGTTTGGCTTTTTAAACTTGCCAGATGGACCAGAAATATCTAGATCAAGATCCGCTTTAGGACCTTTGAGGTTGACATTGGGTGTATTTATGTTTGGACCTTCCAAGTTGCCATCAATTTCAGGACCTTTAAGGCTTGGAAGGTTGAATTTAGGCATTTTCATTTTGGGGAATTTCAGCTTCCCTTTTGGTGAGCCAATGTTGACATCTGGAGGTTCATATCTAATTTGGGAGCTTTAAGATCCACGTCTGTAAGTCCATATCAGGTGCATCAATTCCACCCTTTATCTTTGGAGCTTTTAGATTGAGATCTGGTGACTTCAGATCTGTGTTTAGGTCCAAATTTGGTCCTTTAGGCAGTGTCCCTGACAGATTAAATTTAGGCATTTTTAATTTCCCAGAAGGAGCATTAACATCCCAATCTGGACCATCAAGTTTTGGCATTTTAACTTTACCCGATGGCAAGTCCCAGTTGGCATTTGGTTTATCCATTTTCAGCTTTGGGGCTTTGAGGTCAATGTTTGGCATGTTTATGTCAGGTGCATTTATTCCACCACTGAAATTGGGACCAGAGATATCAAGGTCAGGTGTTTTAAGGTCCAAGTTAGGGCCTTCTAACTTTGGACCAGAAAGACCTAAATCAGGCAGATTCAGGTTTGGCTTTTTAAACTTGCCAGATGGACCAGAAATATCTAGATCAAGATCCGCTTTAGGACCTTTGAGGTTGACATTGGGTGTATTTATGTTTGGACCTTCCAAGTTGCCATCAATTTCAGGACCTTTAAGGCTTGGAAGGTTGAATTTAGGCATTTTCATTTTGGGGAATTTCAGCTTCCCTTTTGGCGAGCCAATGTTGACATCTGGAGGGTTCATATCTAATTTGGGAGCTTTAAGATCCATGCCTGATAAGTCCATATCTGGTGCATCAATTCCACCCTTTATCTTTGGAGCTTTTAGATTGAGATCTGGTGACTTCAGATCTGTGTTTAGGTCCAAATTTGGTCCTTTAGGCAGTGTCCCTGACAGATTAAATTTAGGCATTTTTAATTTCCCAGAAGGAGCATTAACATCCCAATCTGGACCATCAAGTTTAGGCATTTTAACTTTGCCTGATGGCAAGTCCAAGTTGGCATTTGGTTTATCCATTTTCAGCTTTGGGGCTTTGAGGTCAATGTTTGGCATGTTTATGTCAGGTGCATTTATTCCACCACTGAAATTGGGACCAGAGATATCTAAGTCAGGTGTTTTAAGGTCCAAGTTAGGGCCTTCTAACTTTGGACCAGAAAGACCTAAATCAGGCAGATTCAGGTTTGGCTTTTTAAACTTGCCAGATGGACCAGAAATATCTAGATCAAGATCCGCTTTAGGACCTTTGAGGTTGACATTGGGTGTATTTATGTTTGGACCTTCCAAGTTGCCATCAATTTCAGGACCTTTAAGGCTTGGAAGGTTGAATTTAGGCATTTTCATTTTGGGGAATTTCAGCTTCCCTTTTGGTGAGCCAATGTTGACTTCTGGAGTGTTCATATCTAATTTGGGAGCTTTAAGATCCATGTCTGGTAAGTCCATATCAGGTGCATCAATTCCACCCTTTATCTTTGGAGCTCTTGGATTAAGATCTGGGGAATTCAGATCTGCGTTCAGGTCTAAATTTGGTCCTTTAGGCAGTGTCCCTGACAGATTAAATTTAGGCATTTTTAATTTCCCAGAAGGAGCATTAACATCCCAATCTGGACCATGAAGTTCTGGCATTTTGAGATCGCCTGATGGAAAGTCTAAGTTAGCTTTTGGTGCATTAATTTTTAGTTTTTGTGCTTTGAGGTCAACATTTGGCACATTTATGTCAGGTGCATTTAGTTTTAAATTTGACCCTCTAGGCAGTGTACCTGAAAGCTGTCCATCGAGTCCATCCAAGTCTCCATTCAAACCAGGAACCTGAATGACTGGTAAGTCAAATTTGGGCATTCTAAACGTTGGAGCCCTGTATTTTCCAGATGGACCTTTAATACTAACTGATGGAGCATCAGTGGCCCAATTTTCACCCTTAAGGTCAGCTTTGGGAATGTTTGCATCAGGTGCAGACATGCCACCTTTTAGTTTTGATGTTTTCAATCTTAGGTCAGGTGTTTTAACATCAGTGTCACTTTTGAGCATGCCAGATTGAGCGTCCAAATCTAAATCAGGAGATTTAAGAGAAATCCTTGGTTTCTTGTGTGACATCTTGATTTCACCTAAAGGCATGTCAGTGTCTGTTCCACTGATATCTGGTTTTGATACATTAATACCCAACATTCCTTGCTCTGAATCAGGTGATATCCCAGACAGCCTAAGCTGGGGTGATTTTACATAACTGGAAGAATCGTCCAAATTTAGATCTGGGTTTTTCAGTCTCTTGGAATACTTTAGACTGAGTTTCCCTGGTGTGCCTTCATGCTTAACGTCACATTCTGGACCACTAAAAGAAGTTCCTGAGAGGCCCAGATCTGGCAGTTTAAATGTAGGCATTTTGAATTCCTGGTTTCTTCCTTCAATGGCCACTTTGGGAACGCTGGAATTAACAGATGGACCACAGAAACTTCTGCCATCAAGGTCTATCCCCATTTCAGGGGTAGTAATGTTTGAACCTTTTAGGCCTACATCTACTTCTGGAACTTCAAGTCCAATTTGAGGATTTTCAAGATTTCGCATTGCATTGTCAAATGATGGGTGGTCAGTATTTTGCAATTGCATACAAGATGTAGTGCTGACATTTGGGTCTTCTGGTAAGTCTAGATCTGGACATCTGGCACCGATTTTGAATCTTGGAACCTGAGCTTCACTTAGATTAGTCCCATTCAAGCCAAGACCTAGCGGTGGAAGATTCAGATTGCTGCCATCTGTTAAGCTTCCCTCATAAGAGTGTGAATCAGCATTAGCATCTGTGATTAAAGTCTTGGATTTCAGAAGTCCAAAGTCAACTCCAAGGCGAGGCAGCCCCATGTCATTTCTTTGGTTGACCTTGGATGAGCTTTGTACAGGTGGTTTGGCAGTAAACTCCCCATTCACGTAGCCCCCTTCAACACTGGGTACATCATCCATCAAAAACTTCTTGATTTTGGTGTTGTACAGTTTGTTGTAGGAATCCGTCAGCATCTGGAAACAGTGAGAAGTTGATGATTGGAATGAAACTATAACATGAGAGTTTATGTGTTGTAACAGATGGGAGATAATTATTAATTATCAATTGTCATCATCATCACTATTTAATTTGAGTACCAAATTCTCTTGTTTTGTTTTTTGCATCCAGCATTAAATGTATCTGCATCAGAAAATGTAAACAATTGTGAACTGTGTTCCACTGTTGCATAAACATACTGAAACTAATATAATTACTAATCCTTTATTTTTAATTGATATTATCTGCATTTAACCTACAGCCCCAGGACCCTTGGTACACTGGTCCAGATTGTCAAGGCTCTTGCTCCGGTTGCTTCGAGTGAGGACTTGAACTTTATCATCAAATGGCTCCATCAGCTTCAGTACTTTTGACACCTCTTCTTTGGACAGTTGATCAAAATTGATTGTTGCCCCCAGAATTTCATCCCCTGAAAAAGACAAATGAAGTTCTTGCACAAAAAAAATACCTTGTTCGAGAACATGCTTGACTGTGTGCAAATAATACTGTATATCCTTCAAGGGCAGTTTTAGTACTTTAAACCTGGCCTGATCTTGACCTAGAACAGCGGTCAGCAACCTTTAACACCCAAAGAGCCATTTGCACCCAGTTTCCAAAGAAAAGAAAACACTGGGAGCCGCAAATACTTTTTGACATCTAAAATGAAGATAACACCGTTATTGTTTTTTACCTTTATGCTTTGTATAAACACCTAAAGTGTGTTGCTCATGAAATTCATGAAGTGCTACAGAGAAAATTACATTTTATTTATGTAATGAACACATTTTGACCTTTTAAAAAATATAACAAAAAGGAAAGGCACCTAGTTGAAGGTCTATTTTAAATGAATTAAAAAGCTGAAGCTAAATTATTCATATACTAAACAAAAACTGTAGTGAGCCGTCATCCTTATATCACCTTTATATCACAGCTGCCATTTCGCAGCCTGTAGCGGAGCCCTGACCTGAATTTTAAAAATAATTGGGAAAAAAAATCACTTAACTGCCTCAAAAATGAAAAATAAATATTTGCAAAATATTTATTTTACGTGGTTAAATGGCCTGCATTTGTATAGCGCTTTTCTAGTCCCTAAGGACCCCAAAGCGCTTCACACTACATTCAGTCATTCACCCATTCACACACACATTCACACACTGGCGATGGCAAGCTACATTGTAGCCACAGCTGCCCTGGGGCGCACTGACAGAGGCGAGGCTGCCGGACACTGGCGCCACCGGGCCCTCTGACCACCACCAGTAGGCAAACACGGGGTTAATGTGTGTGGCAGGGCGTAGTCTGCAGTGCTGCTGCAGGGGAGGTGGACGGACCTGAGCGGCTTCCACAATCAAGCCTCGCCTGTTTAAAGTCTGTGCTCTCTCTGCTGTTGAGTTGGTATGTGTCGGGCTGTGAGCTGGAAAGCTACAGCTGGCTGTTTGGCTACAGCAGTCATGTGTGAAAAGTGGTCAATAAACAAACATCGTCGGGTCTGCCGTTGTATGTTTACAATGGGACTGTGATGGCATCAGCCACACAGGGGTAAATCAGTCCATTTTTTACTTTATTAGTTTGCTTTGCAGTTTTCTTCATTAATCATTTGGTTAAACCTAACACTGGTATTATGAGGCGCGCACATAGTAACATTGTGTGGTTTTTCTAAAATGTTTTGTTATATTAATTATGTTTCTCTCTCTTTGAGTTACCTGGGTTTGGGCGGTGGCTGTTTCCTGTCTGGGCAAAAGGCATGGCTGAGAACTCTGGGAACAAAATGCCTGCTCAGCAGGACCAACCATGGGCTTACCAGGAGCAGGGGTGTTTTAGGTTTAGTTAGGTTATTCTGTACTTAGTTAATATTAGTGTGTGTTTTTGTTTCCCCCCTATTGTGTGTAAATGGTTTGGCCAAATCATTATAAAAGCTACCCTCATGTGTCTTTGTAATTCGGTCAGTTTGTGAGTTAAGTTGTGTCTCACTTTGTTTTGTTTAAGTTTCTGGAAATTCCTTTTTGTAGAGTTCTATTTAGTTGCCCTCTTTTATGGGCCTGCTAAGTATGTTTTTGAATTTTGTTAATTTTGGACTTTTTGAGGGTTAAAATAAAGAAAACCCTTTTTGAAGGCACTTTTTTGCCTGTGTCCTCTTTGCTTTGGCTGCTTGGTCCCTCACAGGGACTTCAGGTCCAGACCGTCTGCGCACAGCGTCTGCAAATCGGGGCTGTACGAAGTCACGTCATCTTTACGCAGGACTGTAAGCTGTCCTCTTTGAGGCGTGAGCGGTGTTGGTTTTTACCATAGCTCATGGTGGAGAATAGCTGCTCACATACGTATGTGGATCCGAAGATCCATAATTGCACTTAAATGTACAATAGTTTCCTTGAATTTAAGGTGTGTTCTTTTTAGAAACAACTATTTTATTTCTTGTTTTCAAAAAGTCAAAAACAATACGAAGAGAAGTTTCAATAGGATGTCAAGATTCATACCTTCCTTTAGTCCTTTGCCGGAAGAGACATTATTGATACTGGAAATGACCACCCCTCCCTCCTCTAACTGCTCCAAGGTCAGGGCTTCAGAGAGGCTTCTTCCCCTGCGGTGTGAAGGCTGCAAGTAAAAGCAACATTTTTGTAAACTGAACAGAAGAATTACTCCTCTAAAGTAGACAATTTAAAACAAAATATTCAATTCTGTATATATGAGCATTTTAGGAAGAATTAAAACAATATGTAAACGTTTCATACCATGACTCTTGTGGTTTTCTCACTATTGCACTGAGAAATCCAGGTTGACTAAGCCTGTAAAAGAACAAATAATATACAGTTAACAGACTGATTAACAGATTAAGGGAGCAAGTAAAACAAATGGCAAACTGTTCATGTATTTTCCTTAAAGTAGAGCATTAAACCAGTCAGCTACAACATTAAAATGGAATGAATTCAGCCCTTCTAAAAGATTTTTACTATACATACTAAATGTAAAAAATCTTAAGGCTTTGAGGAAGACTGTATCCATTTTTGTACATACTGTACTGTATGTGCTTAGAGAAGTGGCACCCAGGTGAGTCAGCAGATGCATCTTTCAGGTATTCAAACTATGGCTTTGAAACTGTTAGCTCATCATTAAGGAAAACCTAGAACAGGTTTTTCAAGACTGTTTTCTTTTTGCAAGCACACAAAGCCCAAGCAGCCACACCCACTGCTTCCTAACACAATGACACAAGAACACAGAAAGGCCTCCTGTGAATCCAACACAGTATGATCTATGGGTTTTTATAATTCCACACATTAATAGAAAATGTGAAATAAATGTCCACACAAATGTCTCCGCAACCTCAGTGTACTATTGCTGAACAGCAACAACATAAAGAGTGATCAGGCAACAGGTATTACATGGACATGTCAATAACTATCTCAGGACTGTTAAAATACATAAAATGTTAAAACAACATGATAGTTGGCAATAGACTCTTTTTATTTTTCACTTTAAGTGAAATCATATTAAGGTACAATAATATACATAATTTATGTTTGTATGATGTTTAAATTGAAAAAGAAATTAGCAAAAAGGTAACAATTAGACATGTAAACAACTCCAATCAAACATCTCCTCATGAGGATTTTATCCTTCGCTAGCATGAAAAGACGAAACCTTCAGCATTTAGCAGGTATCGTGCACAACTTCAAATGGCATTTGATTAAAGGACGCCACTGATATACTATTCAGTTACATATTAAACATTTTACAAGTAAGCCAAAGTGCACATGCCTTTGTTGAGTCCCAATTAGAAGAATGAACTACAGTGCTAATATTTAACAATCCTCAGATAACGTATAATTTCTAATTATAAAAAAGTGAAAACATCAAGATGCAGAACAATGATGACCAGACATGTTCTTTCAAAAAAAAAAACAACATTTTGTGAGGTTTTTTTTTTCTTGAGAGGTTTATTGAAAGATTTACTAATGTCATAAAGAAAAGTAATGCCTTTCAAAAGAAAAAAAGATGCTTGTTTAGCTGCAAAAATAAAATAAACCTGAAGACAGATTGAATGGTATATGGTGAAATGCAACCCACTACCACCACCACGCATGAAACCTGCTAGTGAAAAGTAAATTTAAGAAACTGAGCTTACCTCAGCATGCATGTGCCTGCTGTGGTGTTGGAGTCGTGTCGTAAAGTTTCCCCACAGAGTCACCAGTCCATGCTATTCCCACTGAAGGGTGAGAATGAGGATATACAGAGCAGTCAGGTGGACATATACTCAACCTGAAGCAGCCAAACAGGTTCCATTTTAAAGAGCCATTAACTGTCAACAGACACAAACATGCGTTTTTGCATCATACGCCCTCATGAAACTTTCACACACCTTGACTACCACATGCCTCTGGCTCGCTGCATATAAACACAAATACACACGACAACAGACAAGAGTCTGTGTCGTGTCAGTGTCTGACCCACGTGTCTGTCACACAGCCGCACATTTCTTCCTAGAAAGCAAACAGATAGAGTATGCACGCATGTTAAAGCTAGCATTACGGTTGATTCCTGATTTTAAGGGACCAAAATACAAAATAAAAAAACAAACACTCCCCCTGACAACTTGATAAGTGTGGTAAGAAAATTTCTGACCTGAGCCAAGGGAGCGGCAGGCGTTCACCGTGTGAGTCACTCCGATTAGTCACTTGTTGGGGACAAAGACTGTTGTCTGATTCAATCTGGATTGAAAGAAAAGAGAGCTCAGTTGCATTCACAGAATTATATAATCCTACCTGAAAGGGTACAGCTGCAGCTCCATATGGGCTCTGACTGTACAGTGTTTTTAATTGTTCTCAGGCAAATCTGGTGAATGAACTCAACATACATGTTTAATAATCAATAGCATTTTTATTACCAACGAATTTTTACATTACAGCTGTTGACAAGCCAAGAAAAACAAACAACAAAAATCACTCCTGTCAAAATATACTCACCTGCAACTAAGCATACAAACATCACAATCACAACATTTAGATAAACTTTTTTTTATTAATACTTGAATCTAAATTTGATTTACAGCTCACATTAAAGCTGCCGAGATCATTCCATTATTATTTCATCAATTTAAACGATTCATACTATCCTCCCTTAATTGTTTGACTGACAAATGTTTTATTATTCAGGTTGTCAGTTGCTCTTTGTCTTGGTCTTACATTAAAGTAAAATGCACTTAAAAATACAATTCATGAGATGAAGGGGATCAATTTATGACACATACAGATATACTAATATGATGATCAGCATGTGGTTATTTGATCAATGTCATATGTCTGAAAAGTCTGACGTTGATGCCAAAAAAATAAAATGTGTCAAAAAATAAAGTCAGATTGCTTTAAAACAGTACATATAAAGAGAGGCAAACACACCCCAGGCTGAGTTCTTTGCCTGCAGCAAGCCTGAATCGTTTTTGTTAGTCTGTTGAATGACAGTAAATCATTGACAGAGAAGTGAAGTAAAAGACTCCGTCTGGTCATAAAAAGCCTGCATGCTTCTTCATAATAATAATTTTAAAAAAAACACTGAGAAACTGGATTTTGTGTTTTCTTTGTACAGATGGTTAACATTAAAAGAGTAAAAAAAAGAAAACAGGATATAATGATAAAACAGAACAAACAGGAGTTGGATAAATTAAAACCAACTGTTTTGTGGCAGAGCTTTTCTCTTCAGTGTAGTTCTAAGATCTAATAAACCACCAACAGCCCTGTGCAGAAGAAAACTTACAATAAATGTTTTACATATATCTCATGAGACTTATATACTTTATATTAAGTCTCATACAATGTTGACCTCATTCAAGTGACCTGTATTTTCCACATTATAAGAATTAAGAAAACACAAATTATGACGACTGCTATGATTACTGTTCCTGCTATTATTGTAAATGGTACTAGAAAAATGTGTAATTCTATGAAATAGTACTTCCATAAGAACACAGTCACATCCATTTATAATCATCATCTTTGAAAGAAAGTAAAAAGTTTGGATGTGTTTCCTTGCAGACAAGAGGAAGAAGCAGCAACTTCATGTTAGTTCCACAGATGAGGATTCCCAAAACTTTGATACATCTACTCTCATTTAAATCTACAAAATATGAAGCACTTTACCTTCCATATTCATGTTGAACTTGGCAGATACAGAATCAGGTACTATTCAGTGTGTGAATGTGTGTGTGAATGGGTGGATGACTGGATATGTAAAGCGCTTTGGGGTCCTTAGGGACTAGTAAAGCGCTATATAAATACAGGCCATTTACCATTTACCATTCAAATAAAATTCCTCATAGCCCTTACAGGTCTTGCAGCATTTAAAAAAAAATTTCAATAAAATGTTTTTTTAAATAAAATTCTAAAAATAAGACATTTCTGTATTGTTGAACTGTGAATGTTTCTTATTTTCAGGTCTCTCTTTTTATCTAAAGCACTCAAAGACTGACTGAACTCTCTTTATATATTGAAAGATGATTCATAAAATGCTCCACATATCATTTGTTTCAAATGAATCCAAAACAAGATTATAAAGTCATAATTTCATATATTTAGACATTTTTTTCTACTCAGATTGCTACTGTAATCCCACTGCAACATTTCTTCTACAGCAGCGGTCCCCAACCTTTTTTGCGCCACGGACCGGTTTATGCCCGACAATATTTTCATGGACCGGCCTTTAAGGTGTCACGGATAAATACAACAAAATAAAACTAGTACCGGTACCGAAAAAAAGAAGATTTATTCATAACACGCGTGAAAAGACCCAGGAAAACCGAGTTAACGATAAAAACGATAACAAAATAACGCTGAAAACCAATAAAACCCTGAAAACCACACATTTCACACCTGAGCCTCAACTCTCACGGCCCGGTACCAAACGACCCTCGGACCGGCCCGGGGGTTGGGGACCGCTGTTCTACAGAGTGGTGTTTTGTTATAACACATCAATGTTTAGTGGCTTGTGGTAAGACCAGATCTAGGGCCAGATCTGGGGCGATCGTGGCTCAAGAGTTGGGATTTCGCCTTGTAATCGGAAGGTTGCCGGTTCGAGCCCCGGCTTGGACAGTCTCGGTCGTTGTGTCCTTGGGCAAGACACTTCACCCGTTGCCTACTGGTGGTGGTCAGAGGGCCCGGTGGCGCCAGTGTTCGGCAGCCTCGCCTCTGTCAGTGCGCCCCAGGGTGGCTGTGGCTACAATGTAGCTGCCATCACCTGTGTGTGAATGTGTGTGTGAATTGGTGGATGACAGGTTGTGTAAAGCGCTTTGGGGTCCTATGGACTAGAAAAGCGCTATACAAATACAGGCCATTTACCAGGTATTTATGTTCATAATTCACATAAGTGCAAGCAGACATGATGTCTTATTTCATCAAACACAGGCAGTTGTTCTGAATAAACACAAAATTACTCCTGACAAGTTTACACGAGTCATTTACATATGGTGACGAACATTTCTGGCTGTCTGTCTAAATTAGGATTCAAATATAACAATAACAAAGTGTAAAAAGTAGCAGCTATTATACCAAATGGATTTGACTAATTCCCCTTATTTTAAGTTACTGTTTGTTTTTTTAATTTTCGCGACTGCTGACTTTGAAACCGAAGTTGGACATCCGAGACTTGAAACGATGGTTCTCAGCTATAAAAATGATGGAGTGCCACCTCTGGGTTCTGAATGAGCTGATGCCCCAAGTACAGAGTTTAAAGAATCAAAGTCTTGATGTTAAGTGAATGAACAAAGGAGCGGAAGATTTACAGACGGATTAATGAATTGTCTCCGGTGATGTGGTCTGAAAAAGATGGCAGATACAAGCAGCAGAAGGATATCTGAGCTGAGCTGATAAAGTGAGGATGGATTGGAGTGGAGCTGCTACTTCAGCACATCTAAAGGAGCCAGTTGAGGTGGTCTTGGGTACTTCCTGATTGAGGAGACTTAAGGGCAGACCCAGAACATGCTAGAGACATTATGTTTCTCAAGTGGCCAGTGAACTCCTTGGTGACCACTGGAAGAGTTGGGGGAGGGCTGTTTAGTTGTCTTGATTCAAGAATATGGCATAAATTCAATGAATGCTGTTTATGCATTAGAATAATCACATTTCCAAACAGCCTCGCTTTTGAGGCCAAGCTGTCCGTTCCTAATGAGTTTTTGCTCAAAGTCTGCAACTCTTCTCTGCATCAACTCAAAGCAGCAAGTTGTCTGTAAATGTGTCTGATCATCTCACTGTCCCTGATCACCCGCCAGTCTGTGAAAGATGGAGTTATCAGCTTGGCAGAGAGACACGGGACTGTCAAACTCCACCACCTTCCCAGCATGCATCACTAGCACAAGGTCACAGTCCATGATGGTGTTGATCCTAATGTGAGACAGGCACACAAAACACAAAAAGGTGTTTCATTCAGAAAATAAAAAGCAGGAAGTTTTAGACTACAGTTGTAAAATAACATTCTGAAATGTGCTTTAGTGCAGGACATGAACACATGCAGTCACCTGTGGGCAATAGTGAGCACAGTCTTGTCCTGAAACTTCTCTCTAATGGTCTGCTGCAGGAGTTTGTCTGTCTTATGATCCACGCTGGCAGTGGCTTCATCAATACACAGGACCTAAATGACAACAAAAACATTGATTGGAAAAATGTTTTGCTTTATTTGTTTGAGCAATCACGCTAAAATATTTTGTTCTCAGTAAATATAAATAAATAAATGTCTGGAAATACAAAGTTAGTCGGTCTTCTTTGCAGTAATGTAGAAGCATAACATTCACAAAGCTTTTGCAAATACCTTCTCCTGTACGCAGAGTCTTACAACCTACTTCCTTGTGAACAGGTGAAGGCGTGTCACATAATTAGAGCTAATCAAACCTGTACAGTTTGTTCTTTGTTTACAGCCTCATACTGTCACTGATGTCACAGAGAAAGCCACAGACTATTTTTCACCCTTTATTGTAATTCTGTTGCACCCTCTCACCATCAGTGTCAGTCACTCGAGAGGAAATTTACCGTCTCTGACAGTGGTCGGAGACGACGTGTGTCGTCGGTACAGTGTAATGGTAAAGCTGCAAAACTCACCTTGGCTTGCGTCAACAGAGCTCTGGCCAAACACAGCAGCTGCTTCTGTCCTGCAGAGAAGAATCTTCCTCTTTCTCCCACCTCAGCATCCAGACCACCTGATATTCACGAAAACACACACAAAAGGCATGAGAGGCAGCATGAATCTGTCATCATCTACATCTTCATGTTGATGATCTTCATGTAGTAGCAGCTCCATTTCATGCAAATTTGAACCTTTATTTTAGGCTTTTATGATAAATGGCCCATAAAGTAAACAGGATTAATACAAAGATAACAGAGGAGGAAAGAGAACTCAAAGATAATAATGTTAGGTTCTGAAACACAGTCATCAGTTATCAAAGTATGTTTGCCAGCCGTTGGTCAGTGGATCCTTAGATTTATTCTGTGGTACAAAAAAATACTTTCGATCATCCAGCGTGTTGACTCAAGAACCATTTTCCCAGTGCAAG